AGAGAGAGAGAGAGAGGTGAATAATTATTATTGTTGGTAGATCATTAATTCTCCTCTTTATTATTATAATTCCTCCTATCCTCACTCTTTCTCTGCAGGACTCTAATAAGTTCCTGCACCTCCGGGTGTCTTTCCAGAAAAAGTGACCAAAGAAACTCACGGCCCTTCACTGCTCCTACAATATCACTTGCCTGCACTGCATTTACTTTAGTAGCGGTATCATCTGGATCAATCACTGGTGTATAGCCTTCATTCATAAAGAATGGACTATGAAGAGCTTCTTTAATTGTCATTCGACGATTAGGACTATAACAGAGAAAATTTTCAATTAATTTAATTTCCTCCTCATCTACATCATTATATGGACTTTGAAGAAGATTTCGTAATGTGGATGTCTTTCCAATAAAGCGTTCCTTTTCCACCATTAAGACATCATGAAATACCCTTCGTGTTTCCTGATCTCTATATTGTAAAATATTCTTTACATCCTCATTTGAAAGTTCCCCAAGTACTTGCATAATAGATTGTAATTGATCCATTCCACTACGATGTTTCGTATAAAACAGTGGTCTTCCCATTAACATCTCTGCCGCAATACATCCAATAGACCAAACATCAGCACCATGAAAACTCATTTGATCTACAAATCCAACAGATGCTGGTAAATGTGTGAGTGTTAATGTCTCTGGTGCGGCATACCATTGTGTACAGTTATCTAAATAAGTTTGAAGAATTCCATTCTTTTCAGAAACCGCCGCATCTCGACCTTGACCAAAATCACACACACATGTATTATAATTTCTATCTAACATTATATTTTCTGGTTTAATATCACGATGCATAACTGGACATAAATGCATATATCCCACACCTCGTAATAATTGATAAAGTATAAACATTCGGTATTCACGAGAAAGAGGGTGGAGGACGAGATCTGTATATGGACATCGTAAACATCTACTACTATATAATTTGTTTCCCTCATTACTATCTACAGAATCTGTTACGGTGTTTAATTGAGTTTCTTCTCCAGAATGACTAATACAAATACCACTATTATCATCATTATTATTATCACTATTATTATTATTCTCATCTCCTTCTCCTTTTTCTTCTTTCTTTTCTTCATGTATATTCTTTTCCGATGATAATAATGTGTTATCGTTGTTATTGTTATTGTTATCGTCCTCCACATGAAATACTGTAGATTCCAGCACTTCACGTAAAGTGTAATCCATCTTCTTCATTACAATATAAACACTATCAAAGGTACGTCGAAGATAATCCACAGACTCATACGTCATGGTCTCACATTCACCTAATGGAATAAAGAAATCTGTTGCCGACATTACATTATCATGTTTAAATGCCATCATCAATTGAATCTCGCGAGAAGCACAAAGCCACATTCGTGGTTGATTACGTTCAAACAACTCTCGTAATTTCTTTACCGCAACAGTTGTACATTCATCATACATTTCCTCCCGTTCCTTACCTGTGAGTTCACTATCATGATACCCAGCAGGTGGATCTAATTGAAATTTCTCTACCAATTCATTATCTCTCGCAGCACAGACAAATCCATATGCCCCTTTCGCAAGAGGCGCTAACGCCTCATATCGTGTAGGCAATTCAAACATTTCTGATATCTCTTCACCCTCATGGCGGAATATCATCAAATATCGTTTAGACGCCAATGGATGACGACAAATGCTTTTGTTTAGCGACATTGTTTATATACTATATATATATATATATAAACAAAATGTGGTGCTGGTCTCTATCTAATTATCTCTGAAGAAATACCCACCACCTCCGTTTATATACCGTAAGAAAAGAGAAGTAAAAAAAAAAAAATAGAAAAAAGTACATTGTGCATATAGGTACAGATACAGAGATATATAGATAGAAAGACAGAATGAGAAAATAACAATAATAATAATAATAATAGTAGTAGTATAATCTGTTTTTCTGTTTTTTTAAATATATACCAAGAATACGTACTATTAATCGAGCAGGAAACAACAACAACAACAAACAAACAAACAAACCAGAAGAGCACACATTATTTACTTCTCAGCAGTCAAGTCCTAACATTCATTGTCCCCCCACTTCAAACACCTTCCTTCTTTACATTATCACTATCACTATCATTATCATCTTCATTAAGAAGATAACTCTTCACATCTTCTACACCCAGTCGACGTCGGACCACTCGTGTCTCTCTTCTATTCACATCTTTTTCTTCTTCTGATAAAGCCAATGTGTCCGCTTCTCGCATTAATGACTCCATGCGTACGGCTAAAGAAGAAAACACATTTAATGCACCATTATCTTTTACTTCCACTTCCTGTTGATTTACAGCAGTTAAATTGTAATCATCACTCATCTTTCCACTACTTTCTTCTGTGGAGTTTGGGGAAACTGTAATGATATCATCTGGCATAGATGTGAGGAACTGTAAACACCCATCGCAAAGAAACCGTCGACTCTCAACAGAAAATGATAATGATGATAATGATGATGATTGTTGTTGTTGTTGTTGAGATGAAGGATTATGATTTTCATTTGAGAGTGATGACTGCAGCTTTACAGAGTGTTTCGCATTTATAGGAATAAGACAACCACAAAGAAGACACAATGAATGTGTCTGTTCACTATTCTCCTGCGGTGTAGAATATATATAATAATAATAATAATAATAATAATAATTATTATTATTATTATTATGATTATTATGATTATGATTATTATTCCCACTCCATGCATATCGTGGTGGTTTTTTCAATTTCAACTGTTCAAAGTGATGTTGGGCACTTTTACCAGGAATAACCCGTTTACATTGTTGTTTAGAACTCCCAAGTTGTAAATCCACTTCCACAAGTGAAGGCACTGTCGTGATTTGCAGTTTCATCACGGTATTCAACACATTAAATACACACGTACGGTAAGAAGACATCATTTTTAATACAAAGAGTTCCACTACTCGATAGATGGAATGTAGATTGGTATGTGTACGTAAAGCTGGTGTATATCCATTCCAAATATGTTGGGAATGACAATAAAGAACAACTTCACGTGGAAGTAATGTACGGAGTGGTCGTAATAAAATACATTGGGCCACTAATCCACGATAACTGCTGAGATGAATAATATTTTCACCAGCTCCACAAATAGTTTCTGCTAATGCGGTAACACAACAACGGAGTGCATTCTCACCTGTAATGAGATGATACCAATTACTCTTAGAACTGCTATTATTATTACTATTATTATTATTATTATTATTATTATTATTATTATTATTATTATTATTATTCGTTCCATCTTTTACCTTTTCTTCTTCTTGTTTTTGTTTCTGTTGCCGCCAACGATTAATACAGTCCGCTGCTGCAACTGTGAGGATGCGTTGACGTAGTTTTAAATATAAGAACTCACGGTCTGAAAGGGGAATATGTGGATGATGCAGAAGACTACGAAATAACAACAACTCTCTTGTAGACATATAATCACTATACCGCACGACACACAATTCCTCTTCTGAGAAGAGCGGCATACCAGCGAACTCCCACTGTACACATTGACTGCGTATCATTTCCTCTAATCTATCGAATTGCTCAGCAGTTGCCGCCGCCAAAGACCGCAGCTGCTCACACTCTTCTCCACTATTATTATTATTATTATTATTATTATTATTAATAGATGATAATAATAAAGAAGAAGATGAAGAGAGATGAGGCGGTGGAATAATCATCACAAGTTCATCCTCGCGTAGATGCAGTGGGAGGAATGTAAAGTGCACTTGACCGTCGCCGTGCCGCAGTCGATTCTGCATTCGCAATACACCGAGTTGATGTAATAATGCCATTGAACTGTGCCCACCAGAGACCGCAACGGCCAGCGGCTCTTCACTCGGCATTCCGCAGTGTTTAAATAAATTATCCCGCATTGTTTTTGCACAGTACTCGAGAAAACAGTTGCTGCAGTACGGCTTAGAGGCACCATCACGACTAGAGATAATACCCGGTGATTTCTTACATTTAAAGCACAATAACATGAGATTTATCTTTTCTTTCATATATATATATATATATATATGCTTCCTTTATACCTTGTTCATGATGTGTAATGTTATCCCCACAGATGTGTTGGTAATGTTGGTTGTAATAGATAGAGAAATACCAGCAATAGAAATAGAAAATGAAAAGGAAAAACAATAGAAATAATGAGAAAAAGAAATATAGATATATTAAGAGATACATAAACTCATTTTCATAGAAAAGAATAAGGTATATATATATATATATATATATATATATATAAAGAGATTACAGTCTTCAGCACTATTCGTTCTCTTTTCCAGTGTTGGCTTAACTTACAAAATGGGAGTATGCGAATAATAACGGCACGCACATACTGATGAAACACATTGGGTGAATTGAAATAATAATAACAATAATAATAATAATAATAATAATAATAATAATAATAATAATAAAAAGAAAACGCAAGAGGTATAAATAGGAGAGAGAGAGAGAGAGAGTTCAGAGAATATTAAAGAGTTTAAAAAGAGAGAAGGAAATAGAAAAGAAAAATTAAACAAGAAAGAGAAAAAAAAAAGAAGCATAAGAATAAGAATAAGGAGGGGAAAAACAAACAAACAAAGAAAAACAAAAAGCAAATAGCCTCAAGAAGTAAAGAAGAAGGAAGGGGGAAAAAGAAAAGAAGAGATATTCTCTCAAAATCTCTCTCTCCCCATCCCCTTTACTACCGCCTGATATGATCTTCTCTCTTGTGTACATTGTTTTCTTTCATTAAACTCTCTCTCTCTCTCTCTCTCTCGCATATATATATATATATAAACAACAGTAATAAAAAAAAAAGCCATCAAGTACTCTCTAACTGCATTGGTACATCATTACACATCCATAAATACATGGAGAGAAAAAAAAAAGGAAGGAAATAGAGAGAGAGAGATTGTGAAAGAAAGACTCATTAAAAGATACGTACAAACATACCATACATACATAGATGACATATCTTGCTTTTATTTTTCTGATTTTTTTCCACTTTTATTTTTGTTCCCTCTTTTCTAATTCTTTACTTGCTCTTTTTATATTCACACAGTTCTATTTTCTCTTTCTTTCTCTTTATTACTTTTTATATTTCACTCTTTCTCTCTCTCTCTCTCTCTCTAAAACATAATGGGGTGAAGTGGTGGAAAAAAAAAAAAAAAACGGTTCTAATGAAACGACATTGGAAAGAAAAAAACAAAAAAACAAAAAAACAAAAACAAAACTTTCGGTGAGGTGGTGAACAAACACGATTTACGTGATAATATACGTTTTCTCTTCTTTTATTCCCTTTTTCTTAACATTTTCTCTTTCTCTTTCCCTCTCTACCTTACTGTTCCTGATTGTTATCTTTTCTTTTTTGGTTATTTTTTGTTGTTCTTATCACTACTGTTTGAGTTCTCAGTAGGCACATTTTATAAACATCAATATCTGTTTGTTGGCGGCCCCTCACACCTTACTAACAACAGCGAGAAGAGTAAAAAAAAAAAAAAAAAAAAATGAAACGAAACGCACCCACCCTTTTTTTTTTTTCTTTTTCTTTTTTCTTTCCAGTGCAAAGAAAAAAAAAAAAACAAAATAACTACACAACAATAATTGAATAATAATAACAATAATAATAATACGAACAATATTACACTCATATACAAACCCTACCCCACAAAATAAGCTTGTTCCTTACCCTTTTCATACACCTCTTCTCTTCTCTTCTCTTCTCTTCTCTCTTCCCGAATCACATAAAAGAAAGAAGAAAGAATAAAAAAGAAACCCTTCCATTCCCTTCTCCCCAAATTCCGCCCAATCATAGATTTACGGCATTCCCACCTTGTGCTGGTTTCTTCATTTGAAGAAGATCCTTCTCCGCACCCGTTGTTGTTGTTGTTGCTTTTGTTGTTGTACTATCACTTACAGAGAGATCTGTAGTAGGAGCAGTAACGTTTCCAGCAGTAGTATCTACAGTAGAGGAAGATGAAGAAGATGATGAAGAAGTTATTTTACTTCGCCTTTTACTTTCTTTTCCATCTCCACGTGGTTGCTTCTTTTTCTTTTTCTTAGCTGGTGATCCTACACTCACAGTAGTATTCGTAGTATTAGTAGTAGGATCAACAGTGGTAGAGGCATTCGTTGTTGAGATGCCTACTTTTGGACGGCAGACTTCTTCCTTTACGAGTTGTTTCTCTTTTCCCACACTGACTTTATTCATCCCAACAGCGTCCCCAGTTGTTGAGAGAGATGATCCACATGTTCCCACCACACTACTACCAGTACTACTAGTACCTTTACTACCACTGCCATGGCTAATATTACTACTATTACTATTACTACTATTACAACTATTACTAGTAACATTACTATTACTATTGCTACTCATATAGCTAACACCGCTGCTCACATTACCGGTAGGGTTACGAATCTCTTTCTTTTCTTCCCTTATTACGGCAGCAGAAGCAGAAGCAACAGTGGTAGTGGTAGTCTTTGAAGTACGTTGCGAGAGTGTCATTTGTCTATTGGTCATTCCTTTTTGTGCTGGCGATGATGGTGCAAATCCACTTATTCCTGTTCCAGGCGTAGAGGAACGCATTGTTGCAGAAGTCCCAGAAAGATTCTTCTTCTTTCGGTTACGATTATTATTATTATTACCACTATTGTTGTTGCTGCTGCTGTTATTATTATTATTATTATTATTAGGCTGTGCGTTGATCATTGTATTTGGATTCATCGAACTCGCATAGACGTGTCTTCCACTCACCCCCTGTTCCTGTCCTCCCATCTCCTCTTGTCTACACTTCTTCCGCCTCTGTTGTTGTTGTTGTTGTTGTTGTTGTTGTTTGTGCAGCCGCTGCAGTTCGAGCCGGCGGCGGCGCTGGAGGACGGCCACCGGGTCCTCAATCTCGTGGAGGAGGTGGCGGGGGCAGAGCCGCAGCGACCGCTCGGAGACCTCCGCGGGGGTCATCGCGGCGACGGCGGCGAGCGCCCGGTCGAGGAACTTCCACTCGTCGGCGTGCGTCTCGTACGTCGGCCTCGGCCGCGCATTCCACGGCAGCAGCACCCCGCGGCCGAGGCGGCAGGGCGTGGGGGCCCACAGACAGAGAGACCGCCGCAGCATTCACAGAGGGAGAGTGAAAGGAAGTGAGAGAGTTAATAATAATAATAATAATAATAATAATAATAATAATAATAATAATAATAATGGATAGAGGAGGAGGAGAGAGTGGAAGGTGTGTGTGTGTGTGTGTCTGGGTACGTGAAGGGATCGGTTAACTGGAGTTTTCTTTGGTTCTCCCCTACCGCTCTTTCTCTCTTAGAAATATATATATATATATATATATATATATACTGGCAGGAGTAACTGTATTCCTTTAACGGTGATTGGTTTACTCGCGCTCCTCTCTTGTTTTTTTTTTTTTTTTGTACGTGTATCTATGTGTAGAGCGGATGAAAGTGTCTCGACGCCTTTTTTCTTTTTTGCTCTCCTTCTTATTCCGTTTAATAATAATAAAAAAAAAGAGTTACACACAGAGAGAAACAAACAAAAAAAAAGAAGAAAACAACCACAAATAAGAACCAACTACTACCGCACTACCACTATTAGTACTAGTACTACTACAATTCCCTTCCTTTGGGCAGAAACAATTTAAAAAAAAAAGAAGAGAAAGAAAGAAAAAAGAATAGGAATAAAAACAAAAAGAACAAAAAGACTCGGCAGTGAACTACGAAAGAAAAAAAAAGAAGCAAAAGGAAAAAAAAAGAAAACAATCGGAAAATGGTATAAATAAGCATCAGCATCGCTTCTCCTTTTTTTTTTCACTGTTCGTTTCACATTTCCACTCTATCATCTACACGAACAAAACAAAAAAAAAAAAAAAAAAAAAAA